TGTCTGAGAGTGCCATTTCCGGCCATTTTAAGGTGCCATAATCATAAATTTTCTTACCTCAGCTGCAATCATGGGACTATAAGGTGGTATTGACCATCCCCCACCCTCTATTTTCCTGCTTTACTGCAGGTCCCTAGACAATACTCAAATGAATGAAAATTGAAATAGGATATTACAAATTATGGATTTTAGAAATTCATTAAAAAGGGCCCTTAAAATGCTAATTTGTCAGAGCTTCCAGAAGATTCGCCCCACCCTCGCAGGGATCCCTAGGCAGTCGCCCATCGTAAGGTCCTCTTCGGTTGGAAAACGCACCTCCCCATCGAAAATCCTGCCTACGGGCCTGGCTGTAACAATAGACACCCTATGCGATTCTATAGAAGGGTTTATTCGAAAGAGGTGTTTGAAGGGAAGCGTTTATTTTTTGTGTAAAGTGGATAACTGACACCATTTTCGCTGAATTTCAAACGAAAATTTTCGAGAACCTTGCATATACCACCTAATTGCCTAGGCATTTCGCAGAACCGGTGACCGCTGTCAGACATTCCAACCCCTCAACGTCCAAAAGTGGGACACATTGAATCTTAAAGCAGGACTTTCTGTTCAAAAGCGGGACAAAATAGAGGGTGGGGGTGAAGGGAGGAACTTGCACCGACAGATGGTCAATACCACCTCAGGAAAGAAAATTTATGATTATGGCACCTCAAAATGGCCGGAAATGGCACTCTCAGACAAACTTTAATTAGGCCTATGATTTTTCTTTTTTCTCCATTTCTTTTATAATTTTAGGGGGCTCTCCCCCCTTGAATCCACCACTGTGAAATTGTAATTTTTCATGATCTTTACATCTGTAGGCCTAAAGATGACATGGATCAATCTGCAATCACTGGAGCTGATAATTTCCAACAGATTTCGTAGCACATTATTAAAAAATGAACGGGTAGAAGAGCGGGCAAAAAAATGTTATGCATATTATAGCATTTCGCGATAATTTTAGGAACGATTTTAGTGAAATAACAGGTTTTAAAAATTGAAATTTGGTGGTCCAGGGGCAGAGGCCTGGAGGGGGTTTGTGAGAAAAGCGACAAGTAGCATTTTGAGGGTCTTTACATATTAAATTTCTCAAACACATAATTCATGAATATTTCATTTAAATTTTCATTAATTTGGGTGTTTTTGGGACCTGAAAAGTAAGGTTATTATGTCCTATACACCTGCAGGCCTATAGATAACATTATTCATATTATATGGACAATCTGCAATCACCGGAGACGGTCAATTTCTAACAAATTTCATACCACATATTAAAAATCAACAGTTAGATAAGCCGGCAAATTATGCAATGCATGCTATAGCATTTTGTGAAAATTGGGAACGATTTTGTGAAATCATAGGTTTTAAAAAGTAGACCTTTTGGAATTTGGGAGAGGTAGGTGCGTCCGCAGCCTCTGCACCCCCCCCCCCCGCCTACGGGCATGAATGCCTACGGGCCTGACATTATAATTTCAGCGGCGGATTCCAGGCCCAGCCTGTCTAGGTAGGCCCCAAAGCCTATAGCTAGGCCTGGCCTAGATAATAATACAGGAACTTGTACCGCGCCTTTTGCCAATGGATACATAAAAGGCGCAATCAAAATAAAATTTTTTAAAAAGATAACCAATTGGGTTAAGACAAAGACAACAGAAGTGAAAAAAAAAGCAGAAAATTTAGACAGTTAAGTGAGATTTATTTAGGAAAACAATGTTTCTTGAGAAGCCGACGAAGTCGAGGGATTTAGGCATATATCTAGACTTAGGCCTTGTTTTTTGACAAGCCCGGGCACATGTACCTACTACTAGCCTTCTCCATAGCCCACTGTTTATTAATTATTTCAATCACTTAATTTTTGTATTAATTGTAACGCTTATACGCACCCACCCCCTTTCAAAATTGTCAATGGTCACTAAGGAGTACCCAAGTGACCTCAAAATTCGATCCATTTTACTTGTTGACACCGTCCAAAAAAGCTGTGAAATTTTAATTCAAAATAGAGGGCGTCCACTTGAGTTGCACTGCCATTGGAGTTTTGCATTGCCACCAATGTTTTGCACTGTGACTCTCAGTTTTGCACTGTGACTCTCAGTTTTGCACTGTTACTCTGAGTTTTGCGCTGCTGACTCTGAGTTTTGCGCTGCTGACTCTCAGTTTTGCACTGTGACTCTCAGTTTTGCACTGTGACTCTCAGTTTTGCACTGTGACTCTGTGTTTTGCATTGTGACTCTCAGTTTTGCACTGTTACTCTGTGTTTTGCACTGCTGACTCTCAATTTTGCGCTGCTGACTCTCGGTTTTGCGCTGCTGACTCTGTGTTTTGCACTGTGACTCTCAGTTTTGCACTGTGACTCTGTGTTTTGCACTACTCAGTTTTGCACTGTAACTCTTTGTTTTGCACTGGTGACTCTCAGTTTTGCACTGTGACTCTGTGTTTTGCACTGTAACTCTGCGTTTTCCACTGGTGACTCTCAGTTTTGCGCTGCTGACTCAGTTTTGCACTGCTGACTCTCAGTTTTGCGCTGCTACCAATTGTATTTTGTCCTTTTGGCGTTCCATATTAACCTGCTCGCCTTGATAATTTCACATTACCGTAGTCAAACAGTGTAGTGTGATGTTTTTTGGTAGAGGGTATAATTATAATGACGTCACCATATACAAGCCACTCCCCTCGGCTGAACCCGTTGTATTTAGCAACTACTGTACAGAGTATCTCGAATTTCTTTCATTTTATTTCTCTTTAGTGACCAGAGGTGGCGCCAGTGGCAGGGCGGGGTTTTCAGAGCCACATACCCCCATCCGTCGGGAGAAGATATATAGGCCTATTTTTACATACCTGTATTAGTAGATTCTGAAATCGTTTAAATAAGCTCTGAAACCC